AAGAAAATCTAGGCAAAACCATTCAGGACGTAGGTGTAGGCAAGGACTTCATGACCAAAACGCCAAACGCATTGACAACAAAAGCCAAAATAGACAAATGGGACCTAATAAAACTCCACAGCTTCTGCACAGCAAAAGAAACCATCATTAGAGTGAATCGGCAACCAACAGATTGGGAAAAAATTTTTGCAGTTTACCCATCTGACAAAGGGCTGATATCCAAAATTTGCAAAGAACTAAAGCAGATTTACAAGAAAAAAACTAACAAGCCCATTCAAAAGTGGGCAAAGGATATGAACAGACACTTTACAAAAGAAGACATACGTGAGGCCAACAAACATATGAAAAAATGCTCATCATCACTGGTCATAAGAGAAATGCAAATCAAAACTACATTGAGATACCATCTCACGCCGGTAAGAATGGCGAACATTAAAAAATCTGGAGACAGCAGATGCTGGAGAGGATGTGGAGAAGTAGGAACACTTTTGCACTGTTGGTGGGAGTGTAAATTAGTTCAACCATTGTGGAAGACAGTGTGGCGATTCCTCAAGGACCTAGAAATAGAAATTCCATTTGACCCAGCAATCCCATTACTGGGTATATATCCAAAGGATTACAAATCGTTCTACTATAAGGACACGTGTACCCGAATGTTCATTGCAGCACTGTTTACAATAGCAAAGACCTGGAACCAACCCAAATGCCCATCGACAATAGACTGGATAGGGAAAATGTGGCGTATATACACCATGGAATATTATGCAGTCATCAAAAACGATGAGTTTGGGTCCTTTGTGGGGACATGGATGAACCTGGAAACCATCATTCTCAGCAAACTGACAGAAAAGCAGAAGATCAAACACTGCATGTTCTCACTCATAGGCGGGTGTTGAACGATGAGAGCACATGGACACAGGGAGGGGAGCACTACACACTGGGGTCAGTTGGGGGGAAATAGGGGAGGGACAGTGGGGGGTGGGGAGCTGGGGAGGGATAGCAGGGGGAGAAATGCCAGATGTAGGTGATGGGGAGGAAGGCAGCAAATCACACTGCCACGTGTGTTCCTATGCAACAATTTTGCATGTTCTTCACATGTACCCCAAAACCTAAAATGCAATAAAATAAATAAATGGGAAATATCAAAAAAAAAGAATATTCAAAGCACTATGTAGTTTTCTTGCCAAAATCATAACTGTGATTCAGTAGAATATTCAAAGCACTATGTAGTTTTTTTTGACAAAATCATAATTGGAATATAAAATCTAGAAAACAATTATAGAAAACCAGCCCCAGGAAAATTTAAACAACCAATGGACTCAACTTTTTGCAGAGATCAACATACTGAAAGGAAACAGATAAATTGAACTGTTCTTGATTACAGGAGATTAAAATGACAAGATGACAAAATTATGTGCCTGTTTCTTGACTGGAGAATGAATTTTTTAAAAAAGTGATTAAATATTCTTAAAAATATTGGGAAATTTTAAATATAACCTGTTTATTAAATAATATTATTGTATGAATAACTCCATAGTATGAATGCTATAATTATTAGGTAGAAGAATACCATTGTTATTGGGCTATACACAGTGCAGTACTGAGGTATAGATAGAAGGATGAACGGATATCAAAGTAGATATATATAGACACTGCCATATGTATATATACATATATTTGTGTAATGTTATTTATTTTAAAAAATTTTATAATACAAAGTTGAGGGAAAATTTTACCCTCTAAGTTTTCATATAAATGAAGTCCATAATTTTGTTTTTAAAAATATTACCTTGAATATTTATAAACAAATACTATATTAAAATGTTTTAAGATACCAAAGCAGATTTATTTCAACAAATGTTACTTGAATAACATTTAATTACAGACTTTGAAGCATGACCACTATTACTCCATACTACAAATAAAAATTAATTTGAAACATGTCATTGATCTAAATATAAGAGCTAAACAAAAAATTCTGGGGAAGTTAAAAATCAATCTTTGGAATCTTGTGCTGACAAATATTCTTTAAATAGGACACGAAAGCACAAATCAATCACACATCTTTGCAGAAAATTCTATTGGACAGGAATGTCTTATATTGGGCATCAATAAACAATACTCCCTGCACAAGTCCATCCTGCCACTTGTTTTTGTATAGTATGTGAGCTAAAAGTATTTAAATTGAACAAATGCAAATAATAAATAACATTTTAGAGACAAAATTTTATAGGAAATTTACATTTTTTCCTATAAATATTGGAACATATTAATCCTCATTTATTTGCATATTGTCTATGGCTGATTTTGTGCTACAGTAACAGATCTCAAGAAGTGCAGCAGAAACCCCATGGCCTGAAAAACCTGAAATGTTTACTATTTGGCCCACTACAGAAACAGTTTGCCAACATCTGTCTCAGACTATTATCTCCACCTACATAAGTGAATTCAGTCTGTAGCAGAACTCATTTATCTGATTTGTAAAGATGGTAGAATTGGCCACATAGTGCTGCATTTTTCTGTACTGGGCTGTCCAATGAAGAAGGGATTCAGTGGGTAATTCCCTTGGGTTCTGGGTTCTCAGGGCTCAAAAGACACTAGACACAGCATGAGCTGCCCTGAAGATGGGTGAATGAAGAAGTTCATCAGATGCAGCATTTCCCTCCATCAGGTCACCAAAGCTGATGCAGTGGATGGGGGAGACTGGCAACTCCTGCCTGATTCTGCAGTATATTTCTCAAGAAGCAAGTTTCATTACTATTACCCTCAGACACTAATTTTGAGAAACAAAAGTCTTCTCCTGGTTATCACCTGTGTTTGTGAAAACAGAGTGCATTGAAGTCAACTCTTGTACAAAATCAATGACCATTAGGGTAAGCCCCATAATCTCTCAGTAAATTATCAATTCTGTCTTCTTCAAAAAATGACATTAGTAATTGCAACTTTACCAATCTCATTGATTTTTCCCTTTGAAAATACAACTTTCAGTAATATTACTTTTAATTTTACTAATAATATGTCTCGGTTTAATTGGAAAAAGTAGGTTTGAGATGGCAACCAGAGTGTCTGGATGAATACAGAAACCATGTGATAGAAGGCATTGTAAAACTGCCAAGACAAATATTGAGCTCAAGTCTCCAGAGGTAGGTGAATCTCAGAGAGCTAAGAAAACACTGACAGTCAGTTTTTGACTGAGTTCACATTATGTCCAATTCTGAATCATGACAAGTGTCATGTCATTATGACTGCCTACGGGAGAGGAATGAATCTTTCTTTGAAGAATATAAACATCCTCCGAAATTCTGAACTTTCTTACATATAACATCTGGTATTTAACCCAAAGTTATCAGGTATTTCAAAGCTACAAATAAGTGATCATAAGAAGAAAAGTTGGGAGAGGAGAAGGCAATAAAAACAGACTTACATTAGGAAATGTTTCTCACCTAGTTTTATAAGGCTGGCATAATCTTGATATCAAAATTTTGAAAATTCTGAGAAAGAAAATTTCAAACAAAATCTCTTGTGAATGTAAACACAGAAGTCTTAAACAATATGAAGAAAATGACTTCATCTCTATGTTCATGCTTTCTATTTAGTAAGGAATGTGGGGCCAATATATCTAATCTGATATTGTGTGGATATTTTTCCTCTTCAAATCTCATATTAAAATGTGATTCCCAATGTCAGAGGTGGGGTCTGGTGGGAGGTATTTGGGACATGGGATGAATCCCTCCTGAGTGGCTTAAAACCCTTCCCATGATAATAAGTGAGCTCTTATTCTGTTAGTTCACACATGAGCTATTTGTTTAAAGTCACTTCTACTCCTTTATCTCCTGCTCCCCGCTCTTGCCATGTGCCATGCTTGCTTCCCCTTCACTTTCTCCCATGATTGGAAGCTACCTGAGGCCCTCACTAGGAGATGTCCATGTCGTGCCTTTTGCACTGCCTGCAGAACTATGTGTCAAACTAAACCTCTTTCATTTATAAATTACCCAGCCTAAGATATTCCTTTATAGCAATGGAAATGGACTAACACACAACTATATAAATAGATGCAGAGAATGGATTTGATAAGATTTTACACACAATTATGAAAAACACACACACACACACACACACGTGTGTGTGTGTGTGTGTGTGTGTGTGTGTGTGTGTGGGCAAATATATATATATGAGGGCAAAGTTCCCTAATCTGATAAAGAATATCTACCAAAATCTACTTTAAGCACCATTCTCAGTATTGAAATATAAAACTTCGACTCCTTTCTGCAGATTAGAAATGAGAAACAAAAATGCCCACTATCACCAATTCTATTAAACATTCTCCTACAAAGTGTGACATTCAGCCCATGAGAATTGGAAAATAAAAAATAATAATCCAAATACAGTATAATGTATATATAAATTTCAATGAAGCTAGAGATAAATTATGAACAGTGATTAGCAAATTTAGCAAAGTTGATAGATTAAGGTTATCAGATGATAGAAGCTAATTATGTTCCAATATACCAAGTACAAATAAATCAAAAGGCATTTTATAAATTTATAACCACAAAAAATATTAATTATCTTGGAAAAAAACAAAGGTTTGCAAGCCATGGCAAAATCACAACATTACTGGGAAAATTAAGAAAGCCCAAATAAACTGGAAGCATAATTATATTCAGGAAAGGAAATGCTCAGTGTGTCAACATGTCGGTTCTTTCCAAACTGATCTATAAATTTCATGTTGCCCTGACAGAAATTCCAGCCACCTAAGAGTAGCCAAAACAATCTTGAAGAAGGAGAATAAACCTGGAAAACACACACTGCCAGGCACTAAGACCTGTTACAAACCTTTATAGCCCCAAACAGGAAACAATAGAAAGTCCAATTAAACTGCCACATATATGAGTTATGCATTTCTTTCACCCTGTAATGGTCAAGATTAAGAATCATACTCTGAATTTGGGGACTTCAAGAACATGGAGTATAAGAGAGTGTAGGAGAAACAAACTTACCTTGGGAATGAGGTAGTTTCTGAATTGAACGTCACTGGTCACTGCATGGGGCAGGTTGGTGGGGATGAGGTCAATGTATCTCTGGACCTCATGCACCACAGCATCTGTGTAGGGCATGTGGCCCCTGTCCTGCATGCAAGGTCTCCGGTTTCTGCCAACCACACGTTCAATCTCTTCCTGGACTTTAGCTGATAAGACACAAGTAAGAACTGATGGAAAAGGAGGAAAATAGCACATTTGTTGTAGCAATTCAGGAGTACACAAATCATGATGAAGGTATCCAAACGTTATTATAAATTTAAATTATGGTGCTAAAAGTGTATATAAACTTAAACAGAAGAACTGTTACAGATGCACAATTGTGTTACTGTGCCATAAACTTGGTATTAAGAAAAATCTGTTCACATATAAGCAGAGAAAAGTATGTTCAATAAAGGAATATAGGAAGGAATGAAAGAAGGAATAGAAATCCAGAAAACAGGAGTAAGTCCTTACCTATCAATAATAATATTGAATGTAAATGGACTAAAATCTCCAATCAAAAGACATAAAATTATTGGATGAAGAAACAAGAACCATTAATCTGTTTTCTAAAAAAAACATACTTCACTCATAAAGAGACACATACTCTGAAAATAAAAGAATGAAATGAGAGAGTGCATGCCAATAGAAATGAAAAAAAAAGAATAGGAGTTACTATATTTAAAGCAGACAAAATAGATTTCAAGATAAAATTTATAAGAAGAGATAAAGATCACTATTGGTGATAAAGCAGTCAGCTTGGCAAGTGGATGGAACAATTTTAAATATATATGCAACCAACAATGGAGCACCCAGATATAGAAAAGAAATATAATTAGAACTAGAGAGAGATAGGTCCCAATACACTAATGGCTGACCCTCCAGATAGAAAATCAACAAGGAAACATTGAAATTCATCTGCACCATAGACCAAATTGATCTAATAGACATTTGCAGAATATTTTACTCAACTGGTACAGAATACACATTCTTTTCCACAGCACATTATGTCCATGTTGTCAATTATTGATAAAAATCAAGAATTAATAACAATCAAGAATTGACCATATGTCAGGTCACAGAACAAGAAGACAGTGTGGTGATTCCTCAAGGATCTAGAACTAGAAATATCATTTGACCCAGCAATCCCATTACTGGGTATATACCCAAAGGATTATAAATCATTCTACTATAAAGACACATACACATGTATATTTATTGTGGCACTGTTCACAATAGCAAAGACTTGGAACCAACCTAAATGCCATCAATGATAGACTGGATAAAGAAAATATGGCACATATACACCATGGAATACTATGCAGCCATAAAAAAGGATGAGTTTGTGTCCTTTGCAGGGACATGGATAAATCTGAAAACTATCACTCTCAGCAAACTGACACAAGAACAGAAAACCAAACACCACATGTTCTCACTCATAAATGGGTGTTGAACAATGAGAACACATGGACACAGGAAGGGGAACATTCCATACCAGGAAGGGGGTTTATAGGAGAGATAGCAGGGGGTGGGAGGGTTGGGAAGTGATAGCATTAGGAGAAATACTTAATATAGATGACAGGGTGATGGATGCAGCAAACCACTATGGCACGTGTATACCTATGTAACAAACCTGCACATTCTGCACATGTACACCAGAACTTAAAGTATAACAAATACATTTTTTAAAAAAACATACAAAGAAACTGAAATAATATCAAGCATCTTTTCTGACCACAACGTAATAAAAACTAGCAATCAATAACAAGAGGGATTTTTGAAACTACACAAATCAATGGAAATTAGACAGTATGTTCATGAATGGCCAGTGGGCCCATGAAGAGATTAAAAAGGAAATTGAAAATTTTCTTGAAACAAGTGATAATGGAAACACAACATACCAAGACCTAGGGACTACAGAAATATCAGAACTAAGAGGGCAGTTTACAGCTATAAGAGCTTACATCAAAAATGAAGAAAATTTTCCAATAAACAATCTAAATATGCATCCTAAAGAACTAGAAAAGCAAAAGCAAATTAAACACAAAATTAGTAGAAGAAGTAAAGAAGATCAGAGCAGAAATAAATAAAATTTAAATGAAGAAAACAAAAGATCAATGAAACAAAAAGTTGCTTTTTTGAGAAGTTAAACAAAATTGACAAAACTTGAGCCAGACTAAGAAAAGAAACAGAGTATATTCAAATAAATAAAAACAGAAATAAAAAAGGAGGCATTACAACTGATGCTGCAAAAATTCAAAGAATAATTATTGGTTATTGTGAGCAATTTATATGCCAAATATTGGAAAATCTAGATGAAATGAACAGATCCCTAGACAAATATGATCTATTGAGATTGAACCAGTATGAAACAAAAAACCTGAACATGCAATGACGTGTACCAAGATCAAACCCGTAATAAAAAGCATCCCAGTAAAGAAAACTCCAAGACTGGATGGCTTCACTGCTGAATTTTACCAAATATTTAAAGAAGATACCAATCCCACTCAAACTATTCCAAAAAAAAAAAAAAAAATAGAGAAGAGGAAAGTACTTCCAAACTCATTCTATGAGGCCAGTATTACTCTGATACCAAAATCAGACTAAGACACATCAAAAAAAGAAAATATACAGGCCAATATACCTGATGGATACTGTGTAAAAATCCTCAACAAAATGTTACCAAACCAAATTCAACAATACAGTAGAAAGGTCACTCATAATGATCAATTGAGATGTATCTCTGGGATGCAAGAATGGTTCAACATGTTCAAACCATATAATCATTTCAGTTGATGCTGTAAAGGTATTTGATAAAATTCAACATTGCTTCATGATAAAAATTTGTAAAAAAAAAAAAAAAAAAAAAAAAAAAAAAAATTCTTGAGATAGAAGGAACATACCTCAATGTAAAAATGCTATATGACAGACCCACAACTAGTACTGTACTGAACGGTGAAAGCTGAATGCCTTGCCTCTAAGATTGGGAACACAACAATGATACTAATGGTCATCATTGTTATTCATCACAGTACTAGATGATTTAGTAGGAGGAATCAGACAAGAGAAAAATATAAAGGCTATCCAAATTGGAAAGGAAGAAGTCAAAATATCCTTGTGTGCAAATGATAGAAACTTATACTAGGAAAACCCTAAAGATTCCACAAGGTAACTATTATAACTGATGAACAAATTCAGTAAAATTTAAGGATATAAAGTCAACATAAAAATCAGTAGTGTTGTTATATGTCAACAGTGACAAAGAGAAAAAGAAATTTTAAAAGTAATCCAATTTACAATAGCCATACATAAAATTAAATACCTATGAATTAACCAAAGAACTGAAAAAATCTCTATAATGAAAACTACAAAACTCTGAGGAAAGAAATTTAAGAGGACACAACAAATGAAAAAATATTTCATGTTCATGGATTGAAAAAATCAATATTCCTAAAATGTTTATACTACCAAAAAAATCTACAGATTTAATAAAATCTCTATCAAAATACCAACAGCATTCTTTACAGAAATAGAAAAAATAACTCCTAGAATTTATATGGACCCAGAAAACACTTAGAATAGTCAAAACTATCTTAAGCAAAAAGAACAGAACTGGAGGAATCGCACTATCTCACTTCAAATTATACTACAAAGCTACAATAACTAAAACAGCATGGTATTGACATAAAAACAGACACATGTACCAATGGAACAGAATAGAGAATCCAGAAACAATTTCACACACCTAGAGTGAACTCATTTTTGACAAAAGTGCTGATTTGGTTTGGCTGTGAACAAACCAGAAATCTCATCTTGAATTGTAGCAATTCCCACACGTCAAAAGCGAGGCCAGGTGGGGATAATTAAATCATGGGAGTGGATTCCCCCATACTGTTCTTGTAGTAGTGACTGAGTCTCATAAGACCTGATGGTTTTATAAATAGGAGTTCCCCTGCAAAGCTCTCTGCCTGCCGCCATGTAAGATGTGAATTTATTTGCTCCTCATTTGCCTTCCACCATGATTGTGATGCCTCCCCAGCCACGTGAAACTGTGAGTTAATTAAACTTCTTTTCTCTATAAATTACCCAGTCTTGCATATGGCTTTATTAGAAGCATGAGAACAGACTCACACAGATGCCAAGAATATACATTAGGGGAAAGGCAGTCTCTTTAATAAATTTGAAAATTCGTCTTGGGAAAATTTAATATACTACACAGGAGGATGAAACTGGACTCATCTCTTGCCATATACAAAAATCAAATAAAATGGATTAAAAACTTAAATATAAGACCTCAAACTGTGAAACTACTATAGGAAAACCCTAGGGAAAATATCCAGGACATTGGTCTAGGCAAAAATTTCTTGAGCAATATCCCACAAGCTCAGGCATTCAAAGCAAACATGGACAAATGGGATCACATCAAATCTGCACAGCAAAATATATAATCAACAAAGGGAAGAGACAACCCACAGAATGGAGGAAAATATTTACACACTACTCATCTGACAAGAGATTAATAACCAGAATATATAAGGAACTCAAGCAACTCTATAGAAAAAAGACCTAATAATCCAATCCAAAAGTGGACAAAAGATTTGAATAGATGACTCTCAAAAGAAGACATATAAATGGCTAACAGGCACATGAAAAGGTGATCAACACCACTGATCATCAAATCTACAGTGAGATGTCATCTCACTCCAGTTAAAATGGCTTATATCCAAAAGAAAGCGCAATAACAAACGCCAGTGAGGATGTAGAGATAAGTGGATCCTCATACAATGTTGGTGAGAATGTAAATCAGTATGACCACTATGGAGAGCTGTTTGAATGTTTCTCAAAAAACTAAAAATAAAGCTACCATATTATCCAGTAGCCCTACTGCTGGGTATATACCCCCAAAAAAGGAAATAAGTATATCAAAGAGACATCTGCACTCTTATGTTTGTTGCTGCACTGTTTCCAATAGCCAAGATTTGGAAACAACCTAAATATCCATCAACAGACAAACGGATAAAGAAATTGTTGTAAATATACATAATGTAGTTATATTCAGCCATAAAAAAAATGAGATTCAGTCATTTGAAACATGAATGAAACTGGAGTTCATTATGTTAAGTGAAATAAGCCAGGCCCAGAATGACAAACGTAGCATGTTCTCATT